TTTGGTTGAATTGCATCCCGTGCAGGGATTGTATGGCGGTCGGTTTTTAGCTCTTGGGGAAGAAATAAGTTGAGACGACTCTTCCGCCTTTTCCTTTTTCCACCCACGGACGTGGTGGGAGCTCTGTCATTGCCGCGTGGCGTCTTCTTACCCAGAACAGGCTGGGTTCTAGATTCCTGTCTGTCTCTCTCTCGGGCTCACAGTATTTAACATTTAATGGGAGATAAATTAATGAGCAATAAATAAATTACCTGTGCTTTTTTTCTTCAGAAAAACCTAGCTTTATTGAGGTATAGTTTACGTACCATAAATTCACCCATTCTGAGTACACAAGTCAATATTTAGTAAATTTATAGTTGTGCAGCTGACTCGGTGCGTTTGTGCCGCTGTAACGAAACGCCCAGGACTGAGTGAGTGATCAAGAACAGACGCTTACCGCTCGCAGCTCTGTGTGCACAGGAATTACTGTGCCCTTCCTGGGTGCTCAAGATAAAGGTTCACCGTGGCACAGCTGAGCCCAGAGCGGTTACAAACCTTTCCCAGGTCACAACGACGAAAGCTGAGGACTGAGGGTCAACACAATCACCCGGTTCCGGCGCGGGGACGGTTCTCTGGGAGTGCGCAGGGCGGTTTTACCATAATTTACCATAATGATCCCCGCTCAGCCTAACAGCCTGGCGGCATCTCTTGGCACCAGTAGGAGGGCCGGACTCTGAGGTCATCAAGGTCCCAGGAAACTGAGGCGCTGTCCCCGCTCAGCCACACGCAGGCCCCACCTGTGCCCTGGAAGTCGGCCCTGACGTGAGGGAGGGACCTCGACCCCTGCCGTGCAGCACGAGCGTCACTGAGATGACGGCGTGACACCGCATGTGCGCGACAGCGCGCCAAAGCCCCCGCCCGCGCCAGCGCTCGCCGTGCAGTGCTTCAGCGGGACACGCGGGGGCGGCCGAGCCGTCCGCCAGAGCTGAGCCGCAGCCGGTGCCTGCCTGCTTTCTGCCCGGCACTGCAGCCGGGGAGTCGGTGTAGACGTGGCTGCGGAAACCTTCCGTCTCCAGCCTGTGTGTGGGTTTGGTGGCGCGAGCTGCAGGATCGGAGCGGAGACGGGAGATGGTGACGCTCGTGCAGCTCTGTCCGTGGGGGCAGCTGCCCAAGTACCAGTGATTTTTCCAAGTGTCATTTAACTGAGATTTTAGAAAGTCTTTTTTTTTTTCTTTTTAACATTTAAGATCCTTAGGCATAGAATGTCCACAAAAACCTGAGGAATTTCTACATTTGCATCTTAAGTCCCGGCACTGTCTTTCCGTCCTTGCAACCAGACACCATTCCCGGCCCCTCCCCGCAGCCGGGCCGCCCGGCCCTCCGACCGCGCTCGCTGGTGCGTCGCGTCCCAGTCGCTGTGCCACTCGCAGTCGGTGCCAGACCTCAGGACACAGCTTTTAAAACTACGTGCGTGTTATTCCTTTTTCCCCCACAGGGAATCTCGGACTTACACGTTTAGGGATTAATTTTGCTCCGGTTTCTGCTTTAGGCAAACAGGAAGTGGCAGGCGTCTCTCCACGTTGCCCAGCCCCAGTCCGTCTGCAGTCCGCGATCACGCGCCTTCGGCACCCCGCGTCTCAGGCAGCGCGTGCACGAGCGGCGCGCGCCCTGGGATCCGGCCCTGCGTGGGGCTTTTCTGTGTTTTCCTGTTTAACTTCCTTGCGCTTCCAAAAGTTTCCCATCAAGAATGAAAAGGTTTCCTAGCCTTGCTCGTGGCCCCTCCCGGCTGCATTTCCGCATCACGGCGCGTCCGCTCCGCTCTCACCAGGGCGAGTCCTGCGTTGGTGCCGCGACTCCCCGGGCCGGGCTCCGGCTGCTGCCCGCGTGGGACCCCAGCTCACCCCGGGCTGCTACGGAGTCGCAGCCGGCCGTTTCCTTCTCTCTTCTGCCCTTCCTGAAAAATAAGGAGTTTCTGCTCTCGAATGGAGCACAGATCTCCTATTTTATATGGCTTCTAAGCTGTGTATCTTAATATTTGGATGCACGTACCTTCAGTTTACTGTGGAAGTGATAAATTGTGAGTTTGTGTGTTTTTGCTATCGCTGTTCTGAAGAGGAACAATTTGCAGCACTCACGGCTTGTGAACGCAGCGTGGGAGCACGAACACGCCACCCAGCGCGGGGACGCGGCAGAGCAGGAGTCCAGCTGCTCGTTGCCCCAGATGCCCCGAGCGGCTCCTGCTCAGGGGCAGCCCCCACCCCCGCCACCACTGGGCCGCGCACCTGCACCCACCAGGCGAATCCTGCGCGGTCCTTGGCCGGTCACCTCCTCTGTCCACACTGTCCTGTGGCCCCAGCTCTCGATACATTCTTCCTCTTCAACCCGCCCACTCGCTGCAAAACACTCCGAATGATCTTTCAAAAACATAGGACTATTTAACAAATCCTGCTGCTAGAAATCCTTCCCTGGCTGGGCATTATCCTTAAGAAAATGTCCAGGTAGTCACCCTGCTGACAGGCCCTGGAGCCTCTGCACCTTTCCTCTTTGCATTTGCTGTTCCTCTGTCCCTTCCATTCTGGGATCTGTCACTCACAGCCTTGGCTGGCTGGCTGTGCAGATGACCCCCGACAGTCCCCCGACAGTCTGAGACAGCCCCTGACAGCCCCAGGCAGCCCCAGACAGCCCCTCTCCTGGACTTCCTGCCCTCTCCTCTCCACCTGGCGGTGCCCTGCGGCTGGGCCCTGGGGCCTGCCTCGCAGTTCCTGCTGCGCTGCCTGTCCCCCTGTCCTCCTGCCCCCAGCAGCGCCTGCCACATCTGGAGTCACTTGCAAGACCGGTCCCTGCAGTAGTTCAGGTTCCGCCCGCTGGGCAGTGTCTTCTCTTAAGCCCATTGGTGCGCCGTGGCGGTCAGTGACGCTCTCCGCAGCGATGCATGGCTCGTTTCGAGTTTTAAGACTTTAAATCACCTTTCATTGTTTTCCGTACAACAGTATCAAGAAAGGATTGGAGAGAATCGCAGCGAGGCCGTGCGCTCTCACGCCCGCGACGGCCGGCAGCAGCAGCCGCAGAGAAGTTCCTGTTTGGCCCTAAACCAGCTCTGTCAGGGAATGCAGGTAAAGAGTCTCATCAGAAGTCAGAACTTTTATTTATGTAATGACAATGTTTATGTTCAAGAACTTACAGTGACCATTGTCTGGTGAAACTGTAAATTGTGTCAAAAGAGATCCAATTTCTGGAATTAAAAGAAGCAATGCTACATGTTAGGTTTTCCATCACAGTTGATTGATCTAGTCTTTTAAAAAGATTGTGGAATCATGACTATTTTCCTAACCAGTTGCAGATAGTATTCACTTAGGAGCTCTGCGTTCTAAGACTTATTAAATAGAAGACTAACCCTCAAAACAGCTCGTACGATGGGGAACCTAAGCAAAAATCGGAAGGAAAAATACATTTGACTGTGAGATGAGCTGTTTCAAGTATGAGCTGTCGTAGTAGTTTAATTTTATAATTCAAAGTTGTTCTCATTTTTATTTTAATGTTAAATGGTAGAAAACTAGTTTATACATGTCAGGTTGAATAGACCTAGTGCACCATGTCGTCAAATGTGAATAGCTCCTTTTAAACTAGTACTAGTAGTTTACGATTTAGAAAGATTGTTACTCCATGTAGCGTATTCGGCAATCCTCCAAGGTGAAGCGGTGGTAGGATATTTTTATAACTTTGATTAAGAAGATTGTTTTACCTTTTGTTATAAACAATGTGTCCAGGGTCAAAAATAGGAAGAAAAAACCATTATTACAACAGTACAATAAAAACACCATCTGTAAATAGGATTAATCTGCTCTCATTGAGATTTAGAGAATTTTTCCCCCATAAACTGCTTTTGAGCATTTAGAATGAATTTATGTAGAGTTAGTTTTTCTATTCTCTTTCAACTGAGTAAAATTAATCCATCTTTCAATAAGCTATATAATTTTATTTGTATTCTAAATAATAAAAAGACTTTAACTCAATTTAGTTTTGGTATTTTATTAAAATGCTCCCCAAACATGGAAATA